ATGCTGCACAGAAAACGGATACTTTGCTGTAAGTGAACAGCAAATAAAAAATTGAAATGTTAAATGCAATGTCTGTGACACAGCTATGCCACTCACACCATGCTGTAATGGTGTTGGTGAAATAGTGGAAAATGATGTTGCTAGATGTACCACTTGTGAAAATTTATTTTTGAAGTGTGATTGCTCTGCCTTGAACAGCTTACCTGTGGAGAATGGCTTTGATAAATGCCATGTTGTGGGCTGTGGTAGCTATATAATGCATTGTCCTTGTGGCAGCGTTTCATATACTGATGAATCCCTAGAATGCAGATGTGGAAATACTCTAAATGGCCGATATTAAATTGAAAATAGCCTCTTTAAATACAGGAGGTATACGAGAATACTCAAAAAGGCGAGAAATATTTTTGTTATTGAAGAAAAAGGGGTTTAACCTTGTCTTTCTACAAGAAACACATAGCAAAAAGAATGACGAGAAACAATGGCTGAGAGAATGGGGTGGTTCTGGAATTTTTTGTAATTACTAATTCAAGAGGATTATGTATTTTATTCGGAAACAATATTTCATACTCACTACACACGCAACATAATGATCCTCAAGGAAGATTTCTGGTGGCAGACATAACATCGGTGTTGAAAGACTTACTCTAGCAAATATGTATGGACCAAATAATGATAATCCATTGTTTTTTGGAACTCTTCATACTCTTGAGAGCCAACAGAGCCAGCAATTCATAGTTGGAGGTGACTTCAATGTAGTCCTTGACAGTAAAATGATAAAGTGGGGCCGAATAAATCAAAAAAAAAATCAGGACAGATGTTGCATAATATTATGGAAGAACTAAATTTACAAGATCCTTTAGAGTAATAAATCCAAGCAAGAAAGCATACTCCCATTTCATAAACAATCAAAAACTGCCACCCGAATTGATATGGTGCTAATTTCTCAACATTTATGCAATATCAGTGCAAAGCCGATATTATACCTTGTGTTTTGTCTGATCACCATCTATAGCATCTAATGATTGATATAATCCTGTCCCCAGAGGTACCGGATACTGGAAGCTGAACACTTCCTTGTTAAATGATGAGAAATATGTTACCAAATTAGACAAGTAATCCAAAATACCATAATGGACCACAGCATGGAATACGTTGATCCAAATGTTATGTGGGATACAATAAATTAATAATTCGTGGGGAATCAATAGCCTATGCAAGTAGGAGAAAAAAGCTGTGGAAAAAAGATGAAAGATCTTGAATATAATATCTTCGCTGGAAACCAAGTATGCCAGTCATCAATCGATGACAATATGCAACAACTGGAAATTGCAAAGCAGTCTCTAAATGAATTGTTGAAGCAAAAACTCGTGGCTACCTGATTAGAAGTAAAATTAAATGGGCTGAAGAAGGGGACATAATACAAAATATTTTTTCGGTCTTGAAAAGAGGCATAAACAAAGGACATCTATTGCACAACTATATGAAAATGATAGAATAATCTCAGATCAAGAAAAATATTGAATGTATCAAATTATTTTACAGAATTATACTGAAACATCATCACATAATGTTGATATAGAGAAATATTGCAAGGGATCAAGATACCACACATGGAACCTGAAGTTTCAGACCTATGTCCTGGTGTTATATCAGAAGGTGCTTGTTTCGAGGCTTTGAAATCATGAAATCTGACAAAACCCCGGGCTTGATGGTCTTCCAGCAGATTTTATAAGGTGTTTTGGAAGATATAAACATCTTTGATGGCTAGCTACAATCATTCATTTTGTAAAGGGACTTTAAGCAAAACACAAAAAGGGATTAATAACTCTTCTTCCTAAGAAAGGACAAACTGAACATTGTATAAGCAATTATCGCCCAATAACTTTATTAAACGTGGACTATAAAATACTGAGCAAAACATTAACAAACCAAATGAGTAATGTAATCAACGAAATTGTTGATCTTGATCAAACTGGATTTATTAAGGGGAGGAATATAGGGGATAATATTCGACTGATTTGTGATGATTGACCTAACGTTGCTGAATCATTGCCTGGGCTTTAATTTTCTTGATATACAAAAAGCATATGATAGTGTGAAATGGGATTTCTTGTTCAAAATTCTTCATATATTTGGATTTGATCTTAAATTCATAAAATGGGTTAAAATCCTTTATAATGATATACAGTGTTGTGTACAAACAATGGTCATATTTCAAATGATTTTGAGTCCATAGAGGCCTAAGGCAAGGTGATTCTTTCAGTTGTCTTACATTTTTACTGGTAATTGAAATTTTTGCAAACATGGTCAGGCAAAACCCAAAAATTGAACCCATAAAATGGAGGGATATTTCTATAAAAATTTCTATGCTTGCTGATGATGTAACTGTAATAACCAATGGATCAAAATCTAGTATTGATGCCCTTTTTCAACTTCAAATATTTTTGGGATTATATCTGGGTGCAAATTAATATAGCAAAATGTCAAGCAATGTATATTGGCACTAAGATTGGAACCTCCCCGATTAGTAGTGAATATAATCTGAATTGGAACGATGAAATTAAAATATTGGGTGTTATTCTGTCAAACAAAATGGAGGGTATATACAGCAAAAATTTTCCACAAATATTAGAAAGTCAAAAAGCTACTTCAGGTGTGGAAAACAAGAAATTTGACGTTTTTGGGAAGGGTTTGCATTATTAAGTCTCTCATTTACCCCAGATATTATACCATGCAACTGTTTTACCAATCGTTCCTGAAAGTTTTTGACTGAATTGAATAGAACTATATATGTTTTGTATGGGGTTCAACTTGGGAGCGGATCAAACGAAATACTTGATTGGCCCCAAAGAAAAGGGGTATTAATATGATAGATATAAAAAATTTTATTGTTGCCCAAAAATGAAATACATTCAAACAACGTTAATCCAGTGTGGAAATTGATTGAGATGGAAGTGCTTACCAATACTGTTTTCAAGCATGCTTGAAGGAAAATTGAGCTCAAATTCATATGTCTGAAGCATTTACCTTTAACATCCATACGAAATATTAAAAACTGGTATTTCTGTAAAAATGTGCTTTTTGATTGAAAATGTCAACTTTTGATCAACCTATATGGTACAACGAAAGTATTTCTTTTTCCAGAAAACAATTTTTTATCAATTCTTGGTATGAACATGGTATGAAAGCAGTAAGACACTTAGCAAATGTGGGTAATTTGTTTACTTATAGTAGGTTGACTGAAAAATATAGCATGCAATATAGTGATGTAGAGTATGTGAATTATTATCGCATCACTGGAGTTTACCTGACGATTGGTTATGCAATATTGGAAACTGTTGATTTTAGTGTATAAGTGACCGAAGAAATGTATCTCATTTTATTTCTGAAACATTCGAATCAGAAAAGTAAATAAAAGTATCTATGAAAGTTGAACCTGATCAAATTTATATCCCTGATAAATCAAGAAAAAATGGCAGATCTTTTTTTTAGAGAGTGATTTTAATTGGAATAAATTGTATATGGATATCTTTTATTGTACTATTGAAACTAAATTGCAATCTTTTCATGTAAAGTTCCATGGTGCCATAGTACTAAACGATAGATTGTATAAATTTAAACTTGTTTCATCAGAGTATGTGATTTCTGTCATTCGAATGTTGAAACTACAGCCACCTTTTCTATGATGTAATTGTCAACAGTTTTGGGAAAACTAAACATGTGGATATACTCAAAAACAGGGATTAATTTTAACTTTTCAAAGAGAGATTGCTTGTTGGGATATGTTTAATTTTTATAACAAATTGTGTAACTGTATACTTCTTTGCCCGGTTTTATCTATATCGTTGTAAGATACAGAAAAAGAAACCACTGTTTAATGTTTTTACCTCATATCTGTATGAAGTGAGGGAAATTGAACGGATCATTGCATATAAAAATGGGAGAATAAAGAAACATGATCAAAAATGGAAAATTTTATGATACATTTACTGATTATTTTATATGATGAATTGAGTGATGATTAGTGATTGTTGTAGATGTACCGATCAATTGTGTTTTATATATTAATAAATATATACAAAAAAAAAAAAAAAAAAAATTGAAAAAAAAAATCTGAATTGATAATGTTTTGCTTTTTGACATTATAGAAACTGAATATAAAGCTGACAAGATTTAGTTAGATACTACAAAGGGGGGTGAAGGAACTTCATGACTCTAAACCAAACAGCGTTTGGAAATAGCTATATACTCATTTTTACCTTATAAGCATGTCTTGGCCTATATTAAGTTACAGACGAGGAGTAATGCAATTGTTGAACAAACATGCAATATCTTTCTTATCTACTGATAAATTTTAGCAAATATTTTAAAAATAATTCTGTTCATCAATGAAGAGAGTTTGGGTTACGTCACAGCCTTTGATCTCATAAGCCTAGATGGAGATGTATGCAACTAACTCAGCATAGCACTTCAAGTTCGAGTTCATATCTTTACTGTCCTGTTTCTGCGACCCTTTTAATTAAAGTAGAAGAAGCCAGAAAAACATGCAATTTATTGGAAATTTTAAGGAAATATAACTAAAAGTATATTAAATAATGGGTACTCCCGTAGTATGTGCACCATGTTAGAGTTAGGCAATAATTTTATTTCCTATTTTTCTTCTATTACGAGTTAGGGGACTTTTTGTGTTAGACAAGTGAATATACCCCCTGCCCATAGGTTTCAGTCCTTTTACATAACTTAATGTAAAGCCGGCGAACAAAATTAGTTACCTTCGTATTGGTACACACACTTCTGGAGCGCCAAATAAACTAATATTATACCATTCAGTAATGTTCAATGAAGTTAAATGTATTTATACATGGCAGCGACACGGTGAAATTAAATTCATTAAACGCATAAAAGTAACACAATAAGAGGGCAATATTTGAATAAAAATACATATATACAGTTTTAGTTACACTATGACATGTTCACGGTCCTTACAAGCTCCCATTAATTAATATTGGTTTTACGTTATAAAGCAGACGTGCTTGCTTATTCACAAAAATCGCTGTTCAATCAATTTCAGAGTAAGTACAGCGAACATTTTCACAAAATTGTCCGCGTAAGGATTTTCTGTCAGTTCCAGTAGATAGTCGATACCTTGCTCATTAATCAGTATTTGTTGATATTTTTTATCTGAAATATTATCATGATATTGCTTCAATGTGAGTCGCAAAGAATTTATCATATATATCTGTGGTTTAATCAACACAAACCTTGATACATACAGGTGTACACACAGAAGAAAAAAAGTATTGGCGGGAAAATACGAGGGTTGCAAATAGTGTGTGTGTTTAATATGAAAGCCGCTTTTAACAATTGAAAATCAAGTAGTGAAGGGAAAATTTGACTCACAATGCTATACTCATGGTATTTTAGCCTCAGTATTCGCCTACCAAGTATCAACGCCCAAACAATTTATCTGTACCTGGATTCAGACAAAACTTCCATATCGTCCATACAGCAAATAATTGGAGAGGTGGTGCGTCATATCTTTGAAGGAGTGGATAAAAAGGCTTGAAGGATCTGAATGTGATTCCGATTTCTGATGCAGTATCCCATTTTATCACGCAATTAGACTGAAAATATGTAACAACTTTTAGCTAACAAAAAATTTAAACATATGATAACTTAAACATATAGAAGGAATATTAATCTTGTCAAACTTCCTCGTGGAGTTGTAGTGTTAGTATTTCTTTATAGTGTAATTATTAGATAAACAATGTACCTACTACATACTTCACTGTTTGCGTGTCATTCTATTGTTTACAGTGTTAAGTTGTGTTAGTGGTGTTCTTATGTTTAATAAAGCCTAGAATAGGTATCCTGTTATCTTTCATAACAGGAGTAAAATTTACAATATGATCACAAAAAGAACCTATGTCATTTGGAACATATTCTATAGAATATAAATTTTGTTCAAAGCTTCCTAGATTATTGAAACATTTGGGTAAAATCATACATAAACAGAAATGGAATTGTTAAACAATTTTTTTCCTGGAAGTAATGAAAATTGTTTTGTAGTTGTAATTTGTTAGTTCATGCATAAATCTCTGTCAATCTCTAAAGCAGTGGTTTTCAAACGATGGGGCGTGGGCAATTTTTCGAGGGTCGTGAAGCTAATTAAATATATTTGTTAGATTTGATCTTGCCCGCCTTATTTTGAATATTCCTCATTTGGGGTAGTTACGTTCCATCCACGTATTTTATACGTGTTCTCTGAATATAAAATACTTTGTCTTACTATCTGTGTTTTGTAGCTCCTTGCTAGTTAGTTGGTTTTGAGGTGGTGCTCGACACTTGACTTATTCTAAAAAAGGGCGCGCTTTAGAATGTTTGAGAACCCCTGCTCTAAGTCTAAAGCATAAGAATCTGTCAAGATTTGTACATTGCATTATATATATTAGAACAACAACAAAGAATACCATGTCTGACAGTGTTCTATTCCGTAAATTAGGAGAGTTTGTGAGTTTCTTCCATTCTTTCAAGTCGATTGTAAGCAAACGTGAGATGACCAAAGCGGCGCAGTAGCTCGTCTGTCAAATACAAATAGTTTTGCTGAGTTTCTGGTACTCCCGAAGTATGTGAACCAAGATGGCGGATATCGGAACGTAGTATGTGTACCAGGTTAGTGTTAGGCCATAATTTCAAGTACAAATACTACGGGAGTCAAGTGGGTAGTCCCTGAACTAGTAATATAACTAAAATGAGGAAAATCTGAATAAAATGATGACCAAACCCTAACACATACATACATAATACGTTTCAGTGTCCGCCATGATTTCGGGAGTATCGAGTTTGTGATGGCATTGAGAATATTTGTTTAAACTACGTGGTATTTGAAAATAGAAATAATTCAGCAATATATTTAACAATAATTTTCTCACAGGCGTTTCCCTCGAATTCATCAGTTTTAGGATATGTCCAACTAATCCGTGTTTGTCCTTCAAAAAGTGCCGGCATGTTTCTGGTTCCTCCGCCAAATTGCTCTACATTAACAACGTCGTATACTTTTATTAAAATTATTTATCTTGAATCAGGTAATACGTAAGCTCGGTGGTGTGGCACATAGTGCTAATCGTTAGGAATATGCTCGCCATTGCATCTCTGATTACCCTGCGTGGGTTCACAGGTTCGAATTCCATGCGTGGATAATCATGTGCGAGAGGATTGCTGAATTCCTTGACGTCGTATAGGGTGGTTCACGTAACCGATGGTCGGCATCGAGTCCATGCTTCCGAAAACAAATAACTGACTAACTGATTTCGTACTCTATCTGGACTGGTAACCGGACTGGTAGAATTTTGCAATACATTAGGGTGTAGTATTCTATTTTTTTATTTATTTATATTTAGTATTATGACAATACTTATTTATGCACAAATTATTCGAACTGTGCGAAAATCGTTGTACGAATCAACTTTAGAAATAGACAGAGGGCAGAATGTAAAATTAAATTCGAAACCACTAGAATAAAGTATTTAATTCCTAGAATGTCATGTCATAATTTATTCACTGACAAAGAATTTTGAGAAACTCAGACATGCCTGCCTAATTTAGTTGGAGCAATATATATATATACCCTTGCGCACAATATCGGATTGCCATAATCGTAAAAAGATGGGCCTCCCATAATAGGAGGATCCTTATGAGACCAGATGCAAGGTATTCTCGATAAGTATAATCAGATCAGATAAAATAGTATTCATTACATTACCAAAATTAATAGCACATCTCCAACACACGAACTGAAGTGTTTTTCCTGAAAAATTGTACAAACGTATAAAAACGAAATTCTAGGAATCGAAAGAGCTGGAACAGATACACTGCTAATAACTGAACATTTGCAATTGCGTGTAAAATTGGGCGGGTCCAAAGCCGTCGATCAAGCAAACAAAATTTCATGCAATGCCATCTGGTTGAGGGAACCATGTTTCTGCTAGGTATTTCACTTTTTTTAGATCAATACTCTGAGCAGCGTTTCTCTAACTTTGTTCCGAGGAACACTGCTGTTACGCGCGCTTCTTTGAAGTGTTCCGCGGGACAGGAATCGAAATTGAGACTAAATTGATGGCCATAGCGACGTGAGCCGTACTTCGGCGACTCTGTGTCGTAAATTTGTCTCCCAAGTGGCGACAAACAGGCGGACAGGCCTTGCTATATAAACAGTCTGACAGACATCGTGCGAGTCTGGAAATCATGACGTTTTTTAAACGTTAAAAATCATTAACCGTCGGCTAAATGTTTGTTTTAATTGTCAAGTTTAAAGCAAACTTTTTAATTTTACCATAGGGCTAAATTTCTCAATGGATTGTTGGCTCAAAGCAGGAAGCCTCAAAAGATGCGGCGATAATCTGAATGTGGAAATTGATGCACAAAGTAAATTCATTACACGATTTTATTATTATTAATTTTATTTTCTAATTTCTTTGTGTTTTGCAAGGCAAGATAAAATCCGTGTTTCGGGACAAAATAGTTTTTGAAAAACGCTTCTCTAGAGTCTAGAAAACCAGTAAATAATAAAGTTTATGATATTTTTTTCATTGGAATTGCACAATCTTGCAAATATATTGCGCCGATGGCGGCGTGGCCAACATAGGATTTGAACTCTGCCTTGTCAGTGTAGATTCGAAATATCTAACTACAAAAAGGCAATTTTAGGTCGCTAGAAAATGCCAGCTGTATAAATAGCGTCGATTTGAAAATGGTAAGTCAGAGCGTTGAATCACTTATACTAGAAACTGCTTCTCAACAAGGCTGTACAAACCTTAAGCAACAAACAAAAAATTGTCAGTCCTTCTGCATCAACAATATTTCTACACGTTGATGGAGTTTCATCTGTCAATCTTATAAACAATGAAAGCAGATTGAAAAAAGTTGCATCTCGCGACCTGGCTCGTAGTTTCTTTTTTAAAATTGACAAAAGGGCCTAAATAAAGAATGCATTTCATTTAGCCATAGTTTGATAACGATGTAATGAAATACAACATGGGGATAGCCGACAAGACGGCTTAATCATATGACGTACCACATCCTCTCGTCGGGTTACGAGTCCATGTCTTGTTTGGAATTTAGACAGGTATTCGGTTTCAAATGCATGGAATTGATTCCTAAAGCTTAGCACATTGTGCACAAAACTAATAGGTAGTACAAGACAAATGATAAACCATAATCAAAACTTGAGGAAGATTTTTTTGATATGAAGAACCTGCATACTCTGTATTCCAAATATCGATGCAGGAATAAAATTCCTAAGTGATTCAATAGCCTTGCTGCACACTAATACAAATATATTTTGGTAACATTTTGTCTGACCAACGTCAGACTTCCTCAGACATACATAGTTCAACTGAACTATTGAACTGTGTATGAAACGTTACAGAAATATATTTGTGTTAGTGTGCAGAAAGACTATTGAATCACTTAGAATAGTTAGATCCACTTTTGCTACAGCATCCTTGCATTATATGCATACGGATCCACCGACGCAAAAGAATAAAAGACGGAGAAGTAGTTAGTCTTGTAGGAACCCAATTGATATAGAGCAGGATTAAAAAGTTTCAAATTTCAAAGTCGTTTACACAAGTTTTCAAAAAATAATTTACCTCTACATTTTGTATGTCTCCGAGATTGGCGTTATCCGATCGGGACAGGTTTTCCGACATCTCATTTAAAAGATATAGACATTTTTGTTCTAATGCCAATTTTCGACTTTTAGATATTTTTTCTAGTTTTCTGTTTTTAGACATGTTTTCTATTAGTAGATGAGCAAAGTTTAAACATTCAGATTTCTGAAAAAAAATACTTCTGTTGAAGAGTTAACCAAACTGAAATGCTGACACAATGCGTTGGATACATGAAGTTGGTGTAGTACTCCTGTAATATGCGAACCAAGATGGCGAACACCGGAACGTAGTATGTGTACCAGGTTAGGGTTAGGCCATGATTTTATTTCAATTTTGCTTACTTTATTTCTATTACGAGTTCGGGGACTAGCCATGTGACTTCCGTAGGACTTTGTACCCTAAATTATGGGTACTCCTGTAGTATGTGAACCAAAATTGCGGACACCGGAACGTAGTATGTGTACCAGGTTAGGGTTAGACCATAATTTTAGGTACAAATACTACGGGAGTAATGGAACTAAAATAAGGAAAATTGGAATAAAATTATTACCTAACCCTAACCCGATACACATACTACGTTCCGGTGTCCGCCATCTTGGTTCGCATACTACGGGAGTACCAAACTATGGCCTAACCCTAATCTGGTACACATGCTACGTTCCGGTGTCCGCCATCTTGGTTCACATACAACGGAAGTACCGTTTCAAGTACAGATGAGTTTATAAAGTAACAAACCAATAAAGCATCACCATTTGCAATAGTTTTCTTTTTTCTGAATTTTACAATCTATTTAATAAAGGTTGAATAAATTTTTTTAAATTTGTCTTTAAGTCACTTGCAGCAGGACAGCAACATGTGAGATCCGAAAACTGTTTAAAGCACGTCGTTTAAAAGTGATAAAGTAAACATGTCTTACCATACTGTTTGAAGTTGTTGGCGAAGGTATCAATGTAATGGAGGCAAATAGATTATCTCTGAATGATCGTATCTTTTTAATCTTGTCCTTGGCAGCCTATTAACAAGAATATAATTTAAGAACTGGAAAGGTTGTTTTCTATCAAGTATAATCGTTGCTCCAGACGTATGTGAACCAAGATGGCGGACACAGGAACGTAGTATGTAGACCAGGTTAGGGTTAGGCAATAATTCCAGGTACAAATACTACAGCAGTTACTTGTGTTAGAACCAAAATAATAAAAATTGGGATAAAATTATGGTCTAACCCTAACCTGGTACATATACTACGTTCCCGTGTCCGCCATTTTGATTCACATACTTCTGGGGCGCTGCTGGATAATCAGCAAGGATAGTTGAGAAACAATCTTAAATACATTTAATATTAATTCTCAAGAAAAATAATTTTCAAATTAAAAATATTTGCTGTTCATTATAAAATGGCAGTTGATGTGGACAAAGGACTGTGACGAACAAACATTGAACATTCAACTTCCTTAATTAATGAACAAAGAGACTTTGAAGAGTTCATATTCACCATCCGATATGTTATTCCCTCAAACCAGGGGTGTGGAACCTTTAATACAGGGGGCGAGATACGAATAACTTGGCAAAACCACGGGCCGCACTTTATTTTAACATAGGCTTTCCAATAGTTCCAGGCACAAAATGTTTGGTTATTGATCTTATGACATGAGTTGTCCGCTTCGCAAAAGCTAACTGTCAGGGCAATATAAAATCATAGGCATAGATAATAAATTTGACTTATTAGTATTATTAGACTTATTAGAATTATTCGCACGTACCATATTGAACATAACCTTGCGGGCCGCATTTGGCCCGCGAGCAGCAGGTCGTACACCCCTGCTTTAAACGGTATGCCTATAATGCTTGCTCACTATAACACATTTACTCACAGGGTCATATTATTTTAAAAATACACTTACATCCAAGGTCGCTTCTAGAAAGTCAAGAATTGGGCGGGTTATTACTTCGATAATCCATGTTACTGACAATGCTGCATTACGAAGAAAAAGTGACACCAGAAAAAAAGTTGTGGTTGCGATTTGAATGAAGCGACGTAACCCATTTGCTATCCAGTTGTAAAGCCGATGAATGTATTTTACCAGCGCCTGGAAACACACAGACAAAAAGTCATTTTTTTCAAATTTGATTATAGATTTCTATAATTTTATTGCAAGAATTTTAGCGCATCAAATTGATTTTAAATGCGCATAAAAATTACAGGGTAAACAATGCGCATAAAAATTACAGGGTAAACAAAAATTAAAACGGAGCGCACTCCTTGATTACTTTTACAAAAATGATGAAAATTTATTAAACGCTAGAACATTTTCAACTTTTGTTTATGTATGAGTTCCAGTAATCTAAGACGTTTGCACAAATGTTACGCTTTCGCTAGATTAGCTTCCAGATAACCATGGTCATATTTATATGCTGTACAATGAAGGGTGCTCCTGAAGTATGCGCACCAAGATGTCGCACAACCAGAACCCCGACCGGTTACCCAACCTGAGTTCAGGTTGTGCGCCATCTTGGTTTACATACTTCAGGAGGTCCCAATAAAGCTTATCATACATTATCGTTATCCTTATTTGACGATGTTCCTCTAGCATCGAGTAGCTGAATAAGTACGAGACTTGTGGGAAGTTCTTTAACAGGGATACAGATTTGTCTACGACAACTTGGACACTGGATTCTGTAAACAAAAAAGTGCTAATATCAGTAAATAACTCATTTCGGTGACTGTTTTCTAGTTACACAGAAATAAAAAAATCCTAAAACTCAATTTAAATAAGTTGTGTACGAAAGAATGAGCAGGGCCAACAAGGAGAATTTTTGCTCCATGGTAACTGTAATATTATTGAGGCCAACTCATTTACTGTAAATAATTAAATTATCTTACGTTTGCAATTTTGCAAAATACAATCTGACTATTTATTTACAGTATTAGTTCGACATAACTAACTCTGGATTACATTCAACTTTTTGTTATAAGGTAGGGATGTGCAACCTTCAATAGAGACGGGCCAGATAGGAATAACTGGGTGAAACTGCGGGCCGCACCTTTATTTAACATAGACTAGTATTTGAAGGCACGAAAAAATTGTTTATTGAACTTATGACATGCGTTGTTCACACAAGCTAGTCGTTAAGACATTGTAAAGCCACAGGCATAGATAATTAATTGGACTTAAGTATAAGCTTCGCAGCGCAAAGGGATTGGAATTACTCGCACGAACAAAATTAAATTAAAAACTTGTTCCGTGGGCCGCACGTCATTCAAAATTGGCACTTCTCCGCGGGCCGCGCAATTCTTTATTGTTGGCCGCATTTGGCACGCGAACCGCAGGTTGCAAGCGCCTGTTCTAAGATATGAATGTATGCATTGCAAACACAAGTCTCTTCATCTCAAATAATTGGAAATAGAAAATACCTTCCCCCACTGGAAATAGTTTTCAAACAGTCAACGCAAAAAGAATGCTGACAAGGGAGCATTTTTGGTGTCCGTCGTCCGGATTCTTCATATGACTCCATGCACACCGGGCATTCCAATAAGTTTTGAACGTCATTGCCGCTATTCGATGTCATTGCTCCAATTGACGTAGAGGGTTTTATTCTTTACGGCACATTATGAGTTAAGCTGATACCCAAACATTGAGCATTTCATATCAATATCACTGTATTGAAAAGTGTATCTGTATCAAAGTGTAACTGCATCAAATACGCCTCGGACTAACTGAATGATTTCAAACACATCTTACCCGGGTAATTAACATTGGACATAAACGAGTACATTGTGTCTCACGTAAAATGTGATGATTAGATAGTTATAGACAATTAAATTAGTTGATTTCATTTTATGGATCAGGTTGGGTTCTGCTTGTTAGATGACTCGTTTACAGTCGTTCCGCATATTTACACATTTTTCAATAACGTGATTAGTTCATTTCAAATTTTTAAATACTGGTAGAGGTGATTTTATATGAAATGTAACTTTCAATAAACCTGTGCTGTTAATAATTGAATCAATGAGAAAGGAGTCGCAGAAATTTTTCAAAAGATTTAGTATTAGCAGCATTAATTTGTGTTTATATCACACGATAAAAATCTGAGATTCAACTTTTTTTTCCACTTCTGTATCTGCCATGAAAGATTGACTGCTTTGACTATGGCTGCCAGCTGCCATTGAGAATGACTTCTTGTTCAAAATAGACCAGTTACTCTCAAGTATCATCAATCTTTAATTACTCCACCACCAAAGCACATTTTAGGTCAAAGCTGTTCTCTCTTCAAATCTAGACATAACTCAAAGTAACAAATGTGCAGTTACATCGCTGAATACTGCAGATCTACGAACAAAGAATGAATAATACGATCGGTTAATCAAATATTTCGTCACAAGATATTTTGTGGACAAACAAAACGAAACAAAGTAAATAGTCAATATGCAGAGCACAAAATGAGAAAATAAACGCATAAAAGACATAAGAACATAAGTATTTTCTACCATATCGATTTCATAGAAACTGACTTCCATGGATATTAAACTAGCGCATCCATCTCAGTTGAAACTAATTCTTGACTAAATATAAGTTGTGTTATTAAATTTGCCCAAGATCTTTAAAAAACTAACTCATGTAATTTAATTGCGATGCAAAATGTTATTTTTAATAAAATTTACATTAAAAATACCTGCAATTTCTGGTGAGCGAAAGCCGGCATGATGGCATATCTGCTTGTATATATTTCGTTCCATATCCTTTACACAGCGGAAGTTTACCCAAAACCTTGCCAAGTGTACTTTAAACTCAATGATTACTCTGAATTATGTTCATTTTTTATAAACAAACTTGCTTTAGGAAGGCCATTCGCGATCCCTCAGAGGTGAGAGTTTCTTATTGTATAAACCCGTGGTTCTCAAAGTGAGCGTCGCGACGCCCAAGTGCGTCGTTTTAATTTTGCTGGGGCGTCACAAAACTTTTCTTCTTTTGTGGAATCGTAGACCTACATGGGTCCCAGTGCGTTGAAAAAGACCTAATATTAAATTGCACTTCAGAAGTGTAAAAGCGTACAAATAATACTGAATAAGAATATTCTGAAAGTATGGCAAGTATTGTAAAAGCTACTAGGACTTTCAACACAATGGCGACGAAAAGCCGCAATGCATCATCTGTAGCAAGAAATTAGACAGCGAAGGCTTATTATCATAAGCATTAACGGCTTTAACATCGCATCTCCAATTGCAACAAAAAACACGAAGCTCTGCATCCGCCGAAAAGTTAAAAAATATGCCCATGTATTACGACACTGTATGTTCAAACCGTTGACGGCAAAAGAGCTGCTGTTTCAAAAGCAAGTCGGGGAATTGATCTTTTGAAAGATTCGAAAATTCTATTACACCCAACAATTTAAATTGCATCAGCATATGTATCGATGGTGCCAGAGCTCTCACTTGTTTACAAAACGCACTTGCCTACTGTCTCGCATAAAATCAATTTGTTCTAAATATGGCTTGTTTAAGTCGTATCTTCGCAAAACTTGATGAATTGAATCTATCTTTGCATAGGAGGACAAAAATGTACTTGAAGTTTCTGAAAAAATTAAAGCGTTTAAACATGTCTAGTCCTTCCGGGTACTTCATTTTTGTTTGTTTATCTTTGGTTAAAAAAGCACTCTCATCATCTTTGCGACTTCGTATTTATGCGGAGTAGGTTCCTCTACCGTTAAGGCGATATCGAGTAATTGTTGAGAGGGAAATGCGTGCGGCTCTTGAAAAAATCCAACCATTTCATTAAATGCAATTTCACTGACTTCCGTTATGTTTTGGTTGTACGTTCAAGTAGAACTTATTGCATAAAAGGTCTATCATTAAAATGTATCAAGACGTTTTTCATGGGGAGTCGCAACTTGAGCATATTTTTTGTAGGGCGTCACAATACAAAGAAGTTTTAGAATCACTGGTATAAACGATTGGGTTATTGTGAGATCATAGTATGACGTTATCGGTATGTATCCTTGCGCACAATACATACGGAGAATAAAACTGTGTATTTAATCATAATTTTTTATATTATCTGTTTTTCTGTTCAAGTTATGTTATTGAAAATGATCGTGTCGTGAATTTGTTGAATACGAAAGTAAATTGGATGCGCATTGTAGATGAATAACAGTGCTGTACTTCAAAACCAAGTCAAAGAATTTCAAATAGAAATCTGATAATTGACACTTGGTTGTATGAATATATTACGATTCGCGTTTGTATGCATATCACTTGCGTTGCTGATTTTATAGTGCGCTTCATTTTTCTGCTTATGCATATATTGTTAAGTGTATGTGTTTACATAGCGCCCTACGACCTCTAAAGCGAAAATAGTGACGGGCGCCGTGTTTCCAGTGAGCAACCGAATGCAAATAACAGTGACGCACTTTAGTTTGAAGTTTGCACTAAAAATTTCAACACTTGAATCAGTACCAATATGACATAGTGCGTTATACTTTATATTTTGTGTGTTCTGTTGTGAAATACGTAAGGATACGGAATACTTCTATGTGCAAGCAATAGTTTCATCTGAGTAACTTCTATATAGTCTGAATTAATATCTGTAAAAGTTTAAATCAGTAAAAAGCAGAAAACTGGAAATACTTTGTCCTCCACTCCTTTTATGATGTTTTTTCTCAATAATGCCCTGCACGTTTGCTATTTGCCTTGAACCGCGTTGTTTGTTCATGCAATATCTCGTGACAAATTGTTCAATTAAGCGAGTATTGTTCTCATCCTAGGACTTAGAAATTGTTTCAACAGTGCGACGTTGTAGCTCTAAATTATTTAATTTGAGTAATGCATAGAGTAAAATGTTGTCTGTGGAGTGTAGAGTAAGCTACTATGCCTTGAGCTCCCATCGTAAACGGTGCTATAATGTTGATGATGTAGATCGGGGGTGGGCAAAATTTCTTAGTATAAGAGCCGCATGCAGCAAGTTGGAACTATTAAAGAGCCGCAGAATTTGTGTTAATAGTATTATTAGAATACCATGAACAGAGAAGAAATTTACACAAACGTCTGATAACAATAAATAATATTATAAAGTGCGTGGCCATATCAGGAGTAGTTGACTTGTGTGTTTCCATCATATCTGTAGGTTTTCGAAAGTCTGGGTGATATGTAGTCAATGCGCTACGAACCAATTCTGCCATATGTTCATTGTTAAAGTTGCACAAAATTTTGATTTTATGAAGTTCCTTACTAAGAATAACGACTAACAGCAGTATGTTGGGCTAAAAACAGAAAGAAACCATACACTAGCCAATTTAACTTTAACAGGGTATTTATTGTGTGGAAATCAATCGCAGATTCGCTTTCATGAAAATAACTCGCGAGAACCAGATCTTCTTGCAGTTCAATTAGTCACCGTCATCGATCACGCTTCAACTCTTTCAAATCATTAAACCGGGCCTCAAAATTTTCCAGAAGCTCTTGCAATTTTGTATTCATTGTTTGTATTCATCCTGCTTGGTTTCTTTTACTACTGTCTCAGGACATGCAATCAGCCTCTTTTTAAAATTAAGAAAATGACTGAACATTCCTGCCATTAAGTCTCTTTCAATAACTTTGATTTTTTTCGGGAAACTGAAAACCATTTGAGCAAAATCAGAAATAATATTTTCAATGCCCTGAAGTGTCAAGTTGAGAGATTTTAAAATGTCCCATTACATCCGTGAAAAACATTAGGTCTTGCAGCCATTCATCTTTTTTTCAGCTATGGGTGGCATTTCATTTTTCTTTAAGAAACGCTGTTATCGGCTCCAACAAATCAACAAGCTTTTCCAATACGTTGCTGGTGGACAACCATCTTACACTACAATACAAAGAGACATCTCTCGGTGAATCTTCCAACTCCAAATCTTCAACATAAGCGAATGAAATGTACAATTGCAAGGACAGTTTTCATAACGGCTTCGTAATTGAAGTATTCGACTACCAGGTGTTCACGATGAATAATGCAACGTACCTGGAGAAACTGTGGAAAGTTTGGATCATTCTTCATAAGTCCAATCAATAGCTCTAAATTGTCTTGAATATCAGTTGATTCGCCAAGGTCTAAACTGAATGCAAGAGAGCTCAATAAATCAGTTTGCGTTGTAACTGTTACATCGCCTTTGTACAGTATGGCGCGAAACCGCCGTTTGGGCCATTAGTCGCTGAAGCTTCGTGTTATTGGGATCCAAGACTGCGACAACATCAGCAATATTTTTTATTCAAAAAATCGCAATCAGAGTATATATATAACAAAACTTGCTTCAGTTGTTGTATTTGTGCTGTCTTTTTAGTAATAATTTGAGCTCATTTAATTTGTGTTTCCTTACAGCTGACTTGACAACTCTGTTCTCGTCTTCGTATTTTCGTTTCTTAATTGGAGACACATTGCCCTACACCTGAGACTAACTAACCGCAATCAAGCTGCAATACCGCCAACGCATCAATAACCATTGTGACGTAAGATTTGTCGCTTGACTGACTTAAATTCAAAATTCCACGCTACAATGATTTTCATAGTAAAACATAATTTGTCCTAATCATTGATGAAAACTGCTTTACAACTTTTAATAAATTGAAAAAAAAGGTTACACTACAGTTTCTCCTAGTTAAAATTTGGATGATAATTTATGTTAGCGAGAAGTGCCGCACAAAAAGCCGCGGTTTACCCACCGTTAATATGAATCGAAGATTGGGCCACTATTCGAGACCTACTGGGAGAGATTTGAATTATCTAATAACTAGCAAAAGTTGGTTACCGTCGAGTACAGTCTCGTGGAATTCCAACACAAAGTTATATATACTCTAGTTCCTGTTCGTATCGGTTTTGCAGTATGGAAACAATGGCGTCAAATGCTGAATATTTTGATTTTTTTTTGTCGCAATCCCTAAATTAAAAGAAATACACTCAGAACTGAATTTTTTACAAAACTCTAATACTCCAATATTCGATCAGCACAGATTAGTTTCTTGTAATATTTTATGCAAAATCACCATCTTTAGTATTTGAAAATTGTTTCCCGTGAAAATACCTACTCAGGTTACCGGAAATGCTGAAATATCTATTAAAATCTCAAAGTTTGAAGACGTTGAACACACAAAACGTCTATTCAGTCACAATCAGATAAACCTACTAATTTATTTAAAATATCAAGATTTTTACCTTCAATGTGCGGTGTGTATGGAGTCGTATCAAGAATCCGGACCCCAGACACCCAAAATGCTGCCATGTCAGCATTCCTTTTGCGTTGAATGTTTGGAAAATATTTCTCGTGCGGGGAGGTATTTTTGATATTCTGTCGTTTGTGATAATGCCTATATCGAGATCAATCAATGAATATTTATTTAATCATATTCTAGACCAAAATAGAGTTTATTTCAAGCCCTGAATTAGTTAAGCTAAACTTCTAATTTAAATCTAATTTTTTTATTGTATTTTGCGCATAAAGACAAGATGCATTACCCCTCAAAATGCGACGCAATTTTTTTTTAATTAAGCCGCTTCCCGAGTCGACTTTTATGGTATTTTTAAAAGAGCATTTTACCATGTAACCATTAGGTAAATATCAAGTTCTGCGTCGCGTATTATGCTTGTTTCATATACAAACTAGATATCAACTGACTGGGAAATATTTAATTGATTCACTGATATTGACTTTTTATTTGCAAAAGACAGTGTCCAAGTTGTCGTGAACAATTCTCTATACCTGTTGATGAACTTCCCAGAAGTCTCGTTCTTATTCAGCTATTGGACACTAGAGGGTCATCACATAGAAAAGATAATGTAAGAGTGATAATACGTTAATTTGCCTTTCAAATTTGGATAAAACGAAAAATTTTGCAAAAAAAAAACGATCTAATAAATAAGAATTAACGAAGAAAATTAAGAAAGGAAAGGGGAAAATAAAGAAAATTAATACGATCGAAGACTCTCAAGAAAAAAAAATATTGTCTAAGTGTTGTTTGTTTAAATTTTACCTATCTTACTAAATTCTTACTATTTTTATTCTAACCAATATAATTCTATAATTAACATTTGATTATTTAAAAAAATATTCACTAACCACACGACAATTTCAACTTAGATTTTTTTTTTATCTAAAGTGCAAATTGATGTTTTTATATTTAGGTAACTGATGCAAATCTCTCAATTCTGCTCAAAGAATATTTTCGTGACCCCGACAAAGCAAAAGAGTATTTATCCAAACTTATTGAAAAAATATTGAGGGTGAATAAGTTCAACTTAGAAGAAATTGAAGTATGGAATATTTTTCAAAAAATTTACGATTACTATTTTTCAAAATTTATTGTTACAACATCTGAAAACAGAAGCATGGTACTATATGATAGTACCGATACCGAGACATTCTCCATTTATAGGATGGAATTCTAATTTTCGTGCCACGGTCAGTTTTTAAATTTTTACTATCGAGTGCAACGGTGAAAACGAGAGCGCTTTTTCTCTATCGTGACCCATTGTTGTCACTACTAAAATTAAAAAAGTAAAATAAAAATCTGAAAAAAAGTAAACATTTTTTTGTAAAAAAACAAAAATCAAAAAATTAAAAATAAAACGAAAATAAAATAAAAACGGAATGAAAAAATAAAAATGCAAAAAAAATTCATAATTTATTTTTAGAAAAATTGGGTTGCTTCAGAAAGGTAGGGAACGTTGCAGTAAGTGAAACTAATTGACCTTTTAATGCTTACATTCCTGTTATTAATGGCTTCGATCGAAAACTGCCCAGGCCACATTTTCATCGAAGTTGACAGATTTAATACAATACAATTTAATATAATATTTTCATATTTTGATTGTATGTTTTAGGCAGCTATCAAATGCATTCAATACTACAGGATACGAAACGACGACACAAGTCGTTTAATTCGAATTACAGCCACGAAGTTTGTGATGAATTAAATTTCACTTGGAGGTGAAGGAATGACAGTGCATTTGCTTTCCGAAGTAATTATACTTACGTTTTTGGAGATTGAGCTTTATTGTAGTTTGATAATGGCTTTTTCAAAGCAAGATTGCAAATAAAAGTGAATAATTAGCATACCTTAAATTAACGTCTAAGGATCATTGATTGTGCGTTTTAAGGGAACATGGTTCATAATGATCACAGTTTTTAAGTTAGTATCACTTTTCTGCGCTCATGTAAACATCCCTTCTCTGTTTCAAGACAATAACCCACTTCTATATAAAATTAAATATTTTATATAAATATTAAATATGGTTGGTTAGGATGATATGATACTTGAAATGACAACATTTTTGGTTTCAGCAGCAGCAGCAGCAGCAGCAGCAGCTAAATTTATCATAATCTTAAAATATTCACTTTTGATAGGTTGCTACTGAACTGATGAAAACCATAGAAGCCCTCAAAGATGATGAATTTTCTTCCGAGGTATTGCTGACTTGTCTGGCAGTTTTTGCTTTACCCGCTATGATGAATAATAAATCGGTAAGCTGTATTGACGTCGGCCCCATTTCTTGCCTTTGGAAAAATATTTTTTTTATACTCACTGGCTTTTTTATTGTACCGTGTCACGCACAGATTTTTCTAATCCGTTCCACAGTTTTGTGTGTTGATTGCTGGAATACTTATAACGTTTGTTGCAACATACATATTTTTATTTCTTAGTTATATTGATTAATCGTTGAAACAATGATAGCTGATCTGTCAAAATATATTTTATTTTATTGTCATGTTATCTGTGATACCCGACAAATTAATAATGTTTATATTAATTCGATTCCGCGATTATTGACCTTTGTATCTATTTTCTTTTCTAGTGCTTCAAGTACTTGAGTTTAACACATCTGCTGATGACAATTCTAACTACGAATAAAAATTTGGAAATAGAATCGGAGATTGTGAAATTTCTAGCTAATATAGCAATGAATCTGTCACAATCAGATAACGCCAATATGGGAAACAGAAAATATGTGGAGGTATATTTTTATTTAGAAAACTTGTATAAATAATAGATGAAATTTTAATCCTTCCAATTATAATACCGATTACAATTATGAAATTGTTCCCGTAGTGCGTGTTAGAGTTAGGCCATAATTTTATCCCGGCTTTCGTCATTTTATTTACATTACGAGTTCGGGGACTGTCTGTGTTAGCCAAGTAAATACACCCCATACTCATAGGCTTCCGTCCCTTTACACAGCTCGATGTAAATTATAGGCGAACAAAATTAGTTACCACCATATTGGTACACACACTTTTGCAGTGCCCCTGTGCAGCAATAAAATGAGCAATGGTCATTTATTTAAATTATCATTTCATCGTGCATATATTTAATCATTTGTCGTTAGTCATAGTGCGACTTGTCAGATAACAAAGATTTAATGATTTTTTTGAATATATCAATTAATCTACAATTCGTCTGATATTTCGATAATCAAATATTTCCCAAAAAAATATATTGTTGAACATAAAACTGACTGAAATATATTAACGATAAATGTATACTCTGATTGTCTTTTATGTGTTTTATTAGAATATAATAATTAGATCAACACAGAACTTTGTGAAAATAAATAATTTTTTATCTAGATGCTCTTATCAATTTTGAGAAGGAAAATGAACACCAGGTCCCGAGATGAAACGTTTTATAATCTGCTGTCATTGTTGATAAGGTTAACAGCTGGAATTCCTTCAACATGTACAAATATTGTTAATGCTGAAGGTCTTACAATTTTTGTTGAATTGCTTAAGGTATGTCTCAACCGATGTAAATGATATGGGGTATAATAACTACAATTACTGAAAAAGAAGTGTAACGAATCAAAAACGAAATTGGTCATGTCGAACCAACCAAATTACGTTTTTTGAAAATTTGAGTCAAGTTATAAAAATGTGTAAATTTGAATTGCAACACATTTCCAAGATGTTTCATTTAATAAATCACCGACAATTGTTCAATGTTTATTCATTTGTGAAATATTGCCAGAATCCCTTAAATTCAAGCAACAAAATCGATACAACAGAGCTTTTGCAGATAAATTTTACATTTTGGCCCGTTAAAATATATTTAGTTTTGCCGATGAGAATTCGCTCGAATTCGAAATTTTGCCATGTCATTCGATCCTACATTTTTATTTGTTTAAGCCGAGTGCTGTACTTTATTAACTGCTTATCTTGTTTTTACAGGATAACGAACTCAGATCAAATAAAGAAGTGCTAATAATTTTGGTAATGTATTGAACGTTATTCTACTCTCTAACAGTCTTTCTAACAGTCTTATTTATGCGTATCTGATCTGACGTATCCTCATGTTGAGTTTCTTAGTTCATCTGATAGCGTAATCATTGTAAAATTAAAAAAATATTTCCTAGCTTTCCAAGTTTTTCAAGTGATTTATCTAAAATAAGTTGATAAAAGATATACAGTGCAATTGATTTAGAGCAACTTGACGGATGTACCACAAATATGCCATCACTTCTTAGACGGCAACTCCGGTGCAGTGGAGTGTCTACTATATCTCATGAATTCAGATGAGATGCATGTGAGTGAACTATTGCTTATAACATTCAAATTATATTGTCACGTCACATTTACATATAAAATACAACTTGCTCAAAATAATTATCTGTTGCTGCTTATGTTCCGAAACTAAAACCGTCATCTCAGCAAAGCTACTTTTTATTTGACAGATCAGCTATCTTTCCGCTGCAGTCATCTCGCGGTTGCTAACAATCGACTTCAGAGAATGGGAAAAACTCACGAAGTCGCCTAACCTAAGGAATACGGCACTGACAAAAGTGGTAAATTATTTCAATATTTAATTAGCATAAGAAGCCAGTATTGCCTGCTTCAATATTTTTTGTCTGTAGTCGACATAGGATGTCATGATCATTGTCTTAAAATTTAAAGCTTACAAAGTATAAAATTGCACGATGAAATTGTGTTTCTCTTTCTGCAGTATAACTGCGTGATGAAAAGGTTTCAAAGGGCATCAGATATATATGTTCACGTCAACTTCATATCATTCAAGCCTTTATATTCACTTCTTCGAAGATACGACACACCAGCAATTCAACTATTTGCTGTTTGGACCATATGGAAGTGCTGTTCGGATTCACGTAAGTGCAGTTTTTATTTACGTTTTTTTAGGTTTTGAGTGGGAATCGTTGCTTTATTGTATATGTGTCACAATATGTACGTTTCATCAACGAGTATTTTATTTATTTATGCAATAATAATATTTCAGCTGAAACATACAAGGAAATGCTGATCGAAGAGAAAGGTATCGGCTATCTTCTGGAACTGAATCAAAATCCCCACGTGGATAAAAATGTCAAAAAGTTTGCCGAACTCACCCTGAACTCAATTAACTAATTTAAAAAAAAAAGAATTTAACAGGTCAACGTAAATAGAACTACTGTGCGGCTTATAAACGCTGATTGTGAAGTGATTGTATAAAATATAAATGAACCCCACACTAGAAAAAAATGAGTTTAATAACAGTGGCAATTCTAATAGCTGTTTGAATATAACCATACAATATACCTATATATAATATATATATATGTGATTTTGAAAGTAAGTTTACGGAACCCCCGGACTATACTGGCGGAACCCTGGTTTAAAACTACTGATGTACTGTGATGAAAGTTAAAAATATTTGTTTGAAACAACAGTTTCCTTTGAGTTATCTTTTATGCATAACCGATTATACAATTATGTACAATATACCTAAAATTATCTTTGTAATATCATTTTATATTATGTGTCATGTATTATTCGGTATATTTGGTGTTG